TAGGATAACTGACAACTGGGATAACTGACAACTGGGGTGACTGACAACTGGGGTGACTGACAACTGGGATGACTGACAACTGGGGTGACTGACAACTGGGATGACTGACAACTGGGGTGACCGACAACTAGGATAACTGACAACTGGGATGACTGACAACTGGGGTGACTGACAACTGGGGTGACTGACAACTGGGGCGACTGACAACTGGGATGACTGACAACTGGGATGACTGACAACTGGGGTGACTGACAACTGGGGTGACTGACAACTAGGATGACTGACAACTAGGATGACTGACAACTAGGATAACTGACAACTGGGGTGACTGACAACTAGGATAACTGACAACTGGGATGACTGACAACTAGGATGACTGACAACTGGGATGACTGACAACTAGGATGACTGACAACTGGGGTGACTGACAACTGGGATGACTGACAACTGGGGTGACTGACAACTGGGATGACTGACAACTGGGGTGACTGACAACTGGGATGACTGACAACTGGGATAACTGACAACTGGGGTGACTGACAACTGGGATGACTGACAACTGGGATGACTGACAACTGGGATGACCGACAACTGGGATGACTGACAACTGGGATGACCGACAACTGGGATGACTGACAACTGGGATGACTGACAACTGGGGTGACTGACAACTGGGATGACTGACAACTAGGATAACTGACAACTGGGGTGACTGACAACTGGGGTGACTGACAACTGGGATGACTGACAACTGGGATGACTGACAACTGGGATGACTGACAACTGGGATGACTGACAACTGGGATGACCGACAACTGGGATGACTGACAACTGGGATGACTGACAACTGGGGTGACTGACAACTGGGATGACTGACAACTGGGATGACTGACAACTGGGGTGACTGACAACTGGGATGACTGACAACTGGGATGACTGACAACTGGGATGACTGACAACTGGGGTGACTGACAACTGGGATGACTGACAACTGGGGTGACTGACAACTGGGATGACTGACAACTGGGATGACTGACAACTGGGATGACTGACAACTGGGATGACTGACAACTGGGGTGACTGACAACTGGGATAACTGACAACTGGGGTGACTGACAACTAGGATAACTGACAACTGGGACAACTGACAACTGGGATGACTGACAACTAGGATAACTGACAACTGGGATGACTGACAGCTAGGATAACTGATAACTGACAACTGGGGTGACTGACAACTGGGATGACTGACAACTGGGATGACTGACAACTGGGGTGACTGACAACTGGGATGACTGACAACTGGGATAACTGACAACTGGGATGACTGACAACTGGGGTGACTGACAACTGGGATGACTGACAACTGACAACTGGGATGACTGACAACTGGGATGACTGACAACTGAGGTGACTGACAACTGGGGTTAACTGGGATGACTGACAACTGGGGTGACTGACAACTGAGGTGACTGACAACTGGGATGACTGACAACTGGGATGACTGACAACTGACAACTGGGATGACTGACAACTGGGATGACTGACAACTGAGGTGACTGACAACTGGGGTTAACTGGGATGACTGACAACTGGGGTGACTGACAACTGGGATGACTGACAACTGGGGTGACCGACAACTGGGATGACTGACAACTGGGGTGACTGACAACTGGGATGACTGACAACTGGGATGACTGACAACTGGGATGACTGACAACTAGGATAACTGACAACTGGGGTGACTGACAACTGGGGTGACTGACAACTGGGGTGACTGACAACTAGGATAACTGACAACTGGGATGACTGACAACTGGGATGACTGACAACTGGGATGACTGACAACTGGGATAACTGACAACTGGGGTGACTGACAACTTGGGTGACTGACAACTGGGATGACTGACAACTGGGATGACTGACAACTGGGATGACTGACAACTGGGATGACTGACAACTGGGATGACTGACAACTGGGATAACTGACAACTGGGATGACTGACAAATGGGGTGACTGACAACTGGGGTGACTGACAACTGGGATGACTGACAACTGGGATGACTGACAACTGGGATGACTGACAACTGGGATGACTGACAACTGGGGTGACTGACAACTGGGGTGACTGACAACTGGGGTTAACTGGGATGACTGACAACTGGGATGACTGACAACTGGGGTGACTGACAACTGGGATAACTGACAACTGGGGTTAACTGGGATGACTGACAACTGGGGTGACTGACAACTGGGATGACTGACAACTGGGATGACTGACAACTGGGATAACTGACAACTAGGATAACTGGGATGACTGACAACTGGGATAACTGACAACTGGGGTTAACTGGGATGACTGACAACTGGGATGACTGACAACTGGGGTGACTGACAACTGGGGTGACTGACAACTGGGGTGACTGACAACTGGGGTGACTGACAACTGGGATGACCGACAACTGGGATGACTGACAACTGGGGTGACTGACAACTGGGGTGACTGACAACTGGGATGACTGACAACTGGAATGACTGACAACTGGGATGACTGACAACTGGGGTGACTGACAACTGGGATGACTGACAACTGGGATGACTGACAACTGGGATGACTGACAACTAGGATAACTGACAACTGGGATGACTGACAACTAGGATAACTGACAACTGGGGTGACTGACAACTGGGATGACTGACAACTAGGATAACTGACAACTGGGATGACTGACAACTGGGATGACTGACAACTGGGATGACTGACAACTGGGATGACTGACAACTAGGATAACTGACAACTGGGATGACTGACAACTAGGATAACTGACAACTGGGACAACTGACAAATGGGGTGACTGACAACTGGGATGACTGACAACTGGGGTGACCGACAACTGGGGTGACTGACAACTGGGATGACCGACAACTGGGGTTTAGCCTTCATGATTGTCTATCTGATGACATTGTTTGTGGAGCAACTTGTCCAGGTATATCTGTCATGTCTCATTGGTTATATGTCTTATTTATCATAGAACATTAAAGTACACCTGTGTCTTTTCCTCTACACTATTCATAGCATCAGTTTCGTTGTTATGGTAACCATATCCATTAGATCCTGTGTTGTCAATCAGTGGACAAAAGCAGACACAATTATTAATCGGCTTCATGTACTGAATATTTTTGAAGAAAAAATTCAGTTTAGGAAGACTGACATCATTCAGTTAATTGTCTTTCTTGCTGAGTAGCCCAAGGGTCAGGTATGGCAGGGTCGTTTGAATTTCAAACCAGTGTGTTGATTTTAGTCTCATGAAATGTTTTTAATTAAGTTCAAAGACCTGCTCACATGTATACAATATTTTAGTATCACTATTGTGTGTATAAGGCAAGATGTAGGCATCCCCATGGGCACCAATTGTGCTGATCTGTTTCTTTATGCATATGAATCGGAACTTCTGCTCGGATGGGCAAAGTCAAAACAAGGTAATTTGGCCGAGAAGTTTAACTTAAGTTTCAGGTATATCAATGATCTGATATCATTCAATAACAGTCAACTAGCCAATTCCCTTCCACTGATTTACCCACCGGAACTAGAAATAAAGGAGACCAGTGAGACCGCCTCATCTGTTTCATATTTAGATCTATGCATAAAGATTCAGAGTGACAAAACACTCTCCACAAGACTGTATGACCAGAGGGGTGACTTCAACCTTTCAATAGTAAACTTTCCCTACATGCCTAGCAATATTCCAGCAGCTCCAGCCTTTGGTGTCTACATTTCACAACTTGTGAGGTACAATCGAGCACGCTCTTTCATCAAAGATTTCAATGATCGTCATACTTTGTTGTGCAGAGTTGTGTCCCTTATGCACACATTAAGAAACCTAAGACTATGGCTTTGATCCCCGTTTGCCCCAATCATGTTTCTAGGTGTTCGCACCATACCCATGCTCGTGGTATTCACCAAAGTGGTAAACATCTAAGACCTGCATCTCTTCAAACTTTCCTCCAAAATATTACTGGAATACTATCAAACCCAACTCACTTAATTCTTAAAAGTTGTTTGATCAAGCTGACAACATTCAAGGCCTTAGCAAAGGTTTCAAAAAGTTTAAGGCATTTCCAAATTTGAAGCATCACTGACCAAATGATGTCTGATGCAATTCCCTGTTTTGACTTGTACCGTATGTTCCTGTGTTTTTTCAAGTGAACAATTTTTGTGAACACCTGGTATCATTACCATTTAACAGTGATTCATAAAGAATTGCTTATGATATAGTCGGAATGGTACAATCAATTCTGCTTTTGGCAGAGATTTCTTGTGAATATGGGTTGTTTTTTGTTTTTTTCACAATATTGATCACTTGATTGTATGGTCAAGACTTGATTGTTTACAGACCGCTATGCTATTGCTAGAGTATTGCTGGAATATTGCTGAGTGCAGCTTTAAACAAGAAGCAAACAAACTAACATATCCTGTACTCCATTACCCTAAGAGTGTTGATTTCAAAGCGATATGTCCACCTAATATAACTGGAAATGAACAGTGCATTTAAAGTTCTTTCTGAAACATAGTTCATGTCAAATAGGTAGATAACTGTCATAATAAGTATGTACATGTGTTGAAGATATTTCAGCTGAAGTTGGTGTTGATCTTGGAGGCCTTATGTTTTAGAATAATGAATTTTTATCCAGTTTGGAGGCTGCAGTACATGAAGATCAAATTTCACATGACTTTTCACCCATACAAACCAAATATAGACTTCTGATTTAGCTTGGTCAAAAGCTCACCTCAAATTTGGAGGATTGATGTATAAACAAATAGTTATTGGAATGTTTAATAGACTAACAAACAAGGTGAAAGAAGTGAAATGGCCATATTTGACAAATCTGTCCGAACTCAGTGGTTCTTATTGAGTTGCTCTGTTTATAGCACAATTTCTATAGAGCCTTTGTTCATGTCTCATTCAGCCATGTTGTGATGTACAATTGTTGTTTTCAGGCAAATACTCCTGTGTGTGTCTCCATGGGGACAGAAAACCTCCAGAGAGGAAAGCCAATCTCCAGAAATTCAAGGTAAATTGATGGAATCAGTGATTAAATAGGCTTTTCTTACTGATTTGCAAATTCAATTCAGATTAATGGGTTACTTTATTCCTCAGTTCAGATCATATGTACATGTATTTGAATTTTGTAATAGGAATGTTTTCTCTGGCAAACCCTGTTCTCCTAGGTAGTATGGATGATCAGCTTCCTTTGTCTGGATGGAGACAAGCACAGCCACAGGAAGTATAAAATCAATAATGCCAGGACTTGCACATTATCTCCAGGAATGGACAACATGTACACAATCACCTTCATAGGTGTCAGGACCAGCCATTATAGAGATCAGTCAATATTGGCTTTTCTTGGATTATGTATAATGATGAAATGTTTGTCCATGGACTCGGGATTTTGGAATATACCTTAAGGTCCCCAGCTACCTATGCTTGCTGTAACAGGCAGCTTATGGATAGGGTGGTCTGGCTCAGGGACTTAGTTGATTGGATGTCCTCACTGGATTGTCTGGTCCAGATTTGATTATATACAGACCACCGTCATACAGCTTGAATATTGCCAAGTGTTGCATTGAAAAACAAAAGATAAACATTAAATTCAAAAACAAATGAAATTGTTAATTTTATTTAAAGCCATATGACAAATAATTGTTGGGACCTCCTCTTTATTGATGTCCTTCATGAAGTTATTCTCCCCGCCATGACGTGCAAGGGGGATATAGGAATGGGTGCTGTCCATCTGTCTGTTAGTCACGTTTCGTTTCCAGAGCAGAACTAAAAAAACATGAGAGATGTCTAAACCAAACTTGGTACATAGATAGGTCTAGTGGTAAACTTTTTGATAGTTGGAATGTTAAAAAATATATTTTTCAAGTTTCCATTGCAACGATTTTGGCTTAGATTGAAAATGGCCATAGTGCTCGTTTCCAGGGCAGATCTTAAAATCAGTACAATATTTCTTGCCTTGCACACAACCTGACATGTCATATTGGTGGGGGATATGAATATTTCATGCCTGTTTGTTTACTTTCAGGATGGTAAGGTGCGCTTCCTCATCTGCACTGATGTAGCAGCCCGGGGAATAGATGTGTCAGGATTGCCCTATGGTGAGACACTAGCAGGTTTAGGTCTTCACTGGCCAACTAGTCGCATAGAGTGCCTTCCTATTCTTGCATTGCAAGGATGTGAAAAAGAATTCTAGCATAATACACACATCCCACATCCAGACATCATTTTCATTCATCCTGTACTGCTTAACAGTGGTCCATATACGGGTCATTCTCTGAAAAAGTAACTGTGTCCTCAAAATGGTACCAGCATTTGTCTCTAAGTTTGCGTGGCCAGAAAAAACGATTTGCATTCCTGTTCTTTCCCACTTTATGCATACATTCCACAAAAACTTCAGCTAGCTCTATATTTTCAACATAACCAGGATGTTAGAGCCGAATTTTAGGTATTTGTGGTTCATTGAGAATCCTTTTAATTGGAACTTTGTTAGGGTTTGTATGTGTACATGGATGCATGTGTTTAGTATAGTTATAAGATAAAACATTAGAAACAGCCAGCCCTTGCTGCCAGTGGCCGTTTCAGGCTATTTTCCCAGGGGTTGGTGACAGCAATAGTATAATGTTGCAGCTAAGACTTAAAAGTTAATTGTTTTGTGTGGAGTCTTAGAGGTCGTGACCTGATCAACCGCGATAAGCATCCCACAAGAATTTCAGATATATAGTTGGACGAATGAGTGTGAGAGAGAGACCAGAGAGTTTTAAGATACGAAAGAAGTAAGACATGTTTCTAAGAGAGTGTAAGAAGATTGTGTTAAGGGAATAGAGGACATACGGTTTTTCAACCTGTCCGAGCTACTGTCCGAGCTACTATCCTGCATTTATCCTGCAACTGTGCTGCAACTGTTTATTATATTACGACTTATTCTTGGAGTGTGTGATATATTATTCAATAATTGTGTGGATATTCACTGAATTTATGGAATTATGTTATATGGAATTTGTGAAGTTTGAAATTAAAGGCAATATTAAAGTGCTGGATCGAGTTGAAACTTTGATATCCTCTATCTCCATTAATTAGACAATTTAAGAGTTCACACAGGATATGATATGTTATACAACATATTTCCCCAGGCATTCGTTTGTATCAACTGGCTGGTGTATTTTCTTTTGTCTTTCCATCTTATCATCGTCTGAACTTTGTACCATTTCCTTATGTGTCTATTGGTGACTCTCCATTCTGTCAGCACACATCTCCACTTCTCTCTTCCTCCCCCCCCCCCCCCCCCCCCACCCCCCACCCCCATCAGACTCTCCATTCTGTAGGCACACACCTCCACTTCTCTCCCCCCCCCCCCCTCAGACTCTCCATTCTGTCAGCACACACACCTCCACTTCTCTCTTTCCCCCACTAATACACTCAATTATGTAGGCACACACCTCCACTTCTCTCCCCCCCCCATCAGACTCTCCATTCTGTCAGCACACACCTCCACTTCTCTCTTTCCCCCACTCCGACTCTCCATTCTGTCAGCACACACCTCAACTTCTCTCTTTCCCCCGCTCATACACTTCTCTCTTCTTCCCCCCCCTCTCAGACTCTCCATTCTTTAGGCACACACCTCCACTTCTCTCTCTCCCCCCCCCCCCCCCCAGACTCTCCATTCTTTAGGCACACACCTCCACTTCTCTCCTCCCCCCCCCCCCCTCTCAGACTCTCCATTCTGCAGGCACACACCTCCACTTCTCTCTTCCCCCCCTCTCAGACTCTCCATTCTGTAGGCACACACCTCCACTTCTCTCTTCCCCCCCTCTCAGACTCTCCATTCTTTAGGCACACACCTCCACTTCTCTCCTCCCCCCTCCCAGACTCTCGATTCTGTCAGCACACACCTCCACTTCTCTCTTCCTTCCCCCCCGACTCTCCATTCTGTAGGCACACACCTCCACTTCTCTCTCCTCCCCCCCCCCCCCTCTCAGACTCTCCATTCTGTAGGCACACACCTCCACTTCTCTCTCCTCCTTCCCCCCCCCCCCCTCTCAGACTCTCCATTCTGTAGGCACACACCTCCACTTCTCTCTTCCCCCCCTCTCAGACTCTCCATTCTTTAGGCACACACCTCCACTTCTCTCCTCCCCCCTCCCAGACTCTCGATTCTGTCAGCACACACCTCCACTTCTCTCCTCCCCCCTCCCAGACTCTCGATTCTGTCAGCACACACCTCCACTTCTCTCCCCCCCCCATCAGACTCTCCATTCTGTCAGCACACACCTCCACTTCTCTCTTTCCCCCACTCCGACTCTCCATTCTGTCAGCACACACCTCAACTTCTCTCTTTCCCCCGCTCATACACTTCTCTCTTCTTCCCCCCCCTCTCAGACTCTCCATTCTGTAGGCACACACCTCCACTTCTCTCTTCCCCCCCTCTCAGACTCTCCATTCTTTAGGCACACACCTCCACTTCTCTCCTCCCCCCTCCCAGACTCTCGATTCTGTCAGCACACACCTCCACTTCTCTCTTCCTTCCCCCCCGACTCTCCATTCTGTAGGCACACACCTCCACTTCTCTCTCCTCCCCCCCCCCCCTCTCAGACTCTCCATTCTGTAGGCACACACCTCCACTTCTCTCTCCTCCTTCCCCCCCCCCCCCCCCCCCCCTCTCAGACTCTCCATTCTGTAGGCACACACCTCCACTTCTCTCTTCCCCCCCCTCTCAGACTCTCCATTCTGTAGGCACACACCTCCACTTCTCTCTTTCCCCCACTCCGACTCTCCATTCTGTCAGCACACACCTCAACTTCTCTCTTTCCCCCACTCATACACTTCTCTCTTCCCCCCCCCCCACCCCTCTCAGACTCTCCATTCTTTAGGCACACACCTCCACTTCTCTCCCCCCCCCCCCCCCCCCTCTCAGACTCTCCATTCTGTAGGCACACACCTCCACTTCTCTCTTCCCCCCCCTCTCAGACTCTCCATTCTGTAGGCACACACCTCCACTTCTCTCTTTCCCCCACTCATACACTCCATTCTGTCAGCACACACCTCCACTTCTCTCTTTCCCCCACTCATACACTCCATTCTGTCAGCACACACCTCCACTACTCTCTTTCCCCCACTCATACACTCCATTCTGTCAGCACACACTTCCAGTTCTCTCTTTCCCCCACTCCGACTCTCCATTCTGTCAGCAGACACCTCCACTTCTCTCTTTCCCCCACTCAGAATCTCCATTCTGTCAGCACACACCTCCACTTCTCTCTTCTCCCCCCCCCCCCTCTCAGACTCTCCATTCTGTCAGCACACACCTCCACTTCTCTCTTCCCCCCCCTCTCAGACTCTCCATTCTGTAGGCACACACCTCCACTTCTCTCCCACCCCCCTCTCAGACTCTCCATTCTGTCAGCACACACCTCCACTTCTCTCTTCTCCCCCCCCCCCCCCCTCTCAGACTCTCCATTCTGTCAGCACACACCTCCACTTCTCTCTTCCCCCCCCTCTCAGACTCTCCATTCTTTAGGCACACACCTCCCCTTCTCTCTCCCCCCCCCCCCTCTCAGACTCTCCATTCTGTAGGCACACACCTCAACTTCTCTCTTTCCTCCACTCATACACTCCATTCTGTCAGCACACACCTCCACTTCTCTCTTTCCTCCACTCATACACTCCATTCTGTCAGCAGACACCTCCATTTCTTTCTTTTCCCCACGCATAAACACAGTGTTTGAAGTGATCATGTAACATTACTTCCTTTAAAGTTGTTAAATATGTTACATTTCTTAATAATGTACAACAGTAGGGCGAGCAAAATGAATAATTGTTTATTATTTGTGTCAACATGATACAAAAATGCTATAATGTCTTTGCTGTCACTGCAATGTGTCTGTGCTGTCACTATTAAAAGTCTGTGCTGTTACCAAAGATCTACTATGCAGTGTAATCAGTGTTTATTGATTGACCCAAATGCTAATAATATTCAGATTTTCATGCAACAAGCAAACATACAAAATACATTACCATTCATGTTTTCTTTGTCTTTTAATATGTATATGTTGAAACATTTATTGAACACTATATGTTTGTGCTGTCGCCTAAATATGTGACTTTGTTTTAAGGTGACAGCAGAGACAGTGACAGGAGAGACAAACTATGACAGAATGCCAACTTAGGGCAATGACTTCTTCCTTGCACTACAAAAAGCACACTGTTTGAGTTCCATTCTGACAGTCAAATACACTCATTATATTTGATTTTTTTAATAACAATTTCAGAATCCAAAATGCATGGTGACAGCACAGACACCTACAAAAAGTACACATCAAAAGACAACATTTACCAGTTATTTTCAAGATTCTTCACTACTGTAAAGTGCTCGAGCATATGGTGACATGATAGTACTGGAAAGGAAGTGACCTGCAAAGACCTTAGCCTTCTGGGATCCCAAAGGAGCAATTATTATTTGTATTTGTACTATCTGGTGACAGGACAGACACTATTACTCTGGACAAGATTACTGTTGCCAAAAATAATGAATCCAATTGGAAGACCAACAGGTTATTAGCCTTTCATGATGTCATGCTACATAAATCACCAGGGCTTTGGAAAGTATTTGTTCCCAGACACTTTAGATAATTTGAGAAAGTTTGATTTTTTATTTGTGGACAACAAATTTCTGCACATGTCTGCACATTTAAGGTATTTTACTTGCTAACATAAGGTTATAGCAGTAATTTGATCAGAATGTTGCATACATCTGATAAATATCTTCATTGTCAAGTAATCTGAAAACAGAATTATAAGTTGTTTTCAAGAAAATTCATCTGGACAGGAAATTTTACTTTTTTATAGAATGACCCATGAGAATAGAAACCAAATCTTAACTAAAACAATATGACCTAGAGTTCAAGGTTATCAAGGGACACAACTTCAGTCAAATGATATGATACCCAATTTTTATAAAATTGGTTTGGTTCATTTTGTTTTTAAATAGATTTATTTTTCACTGATATATCTTTGTTTAAGCTGCTGCTTAAATGTTTCAAGGTTAGATATTCTATAATTAATTTATACTTATCTAAGAATGAAAAATTTGGCAAGTAACAACATGGGAAGATCAACATTTCATTGGTAATATAGTTACGGTATGCAGTGCATACACATGGTTGGTGTTCTTTATAGATATCTAATGTAACGGAAATGTAACAATTTAAGAAAATGGAAACAATAATAATAGTTTCAAATTGATAGTACAGCCTTAAATTACTGCCTTGTCATCTTAATTTGTTAACTGTATATGTGTTTGATTAATATTTAAGTCAAAACCAGGAGTATATGTAGAAGCAGTTGATAATAAATTGTTATTGCTATTCTTCAATTACTGCCTTGTCATCTCAATTTGTAAACAGTATATGTGTTAAATTAAAATAGAAGCAGCTTATGTCCCACATCTGGTCACTTGAACAGACCAGGTGATGTGGTTTCACTATACAGCCAGCGCTGCATGGTATGTCACATAATGATGTGCCTCAAGTTGGGAACTTGCAGCAACCAGGGACAATATACACCAGGAAATGACACTGATGTCAGATATGACACTTGAATAAGGAGGTTATGTTTTTTCTCACTCACCCAGTGATAAATGTTCAATCCCGCTACTTCATGCAAGACAGTCTCCATGGTCTAGTGGTGGAGTGTCTGCCCAGAGGGTAGAAGGTCTGGGGTTCGATCCCCGGCCATGTCATACCAAAAGACATTAAAAGATGGTACTTGTTGTTACCCTGCCTGGCACTCAGTATTAAGGAGCTAAAAACAAGGACTGGTCAGCTCTGAGTCAGTATTCTGTGTCTGAATGGGGTATTCATGTTAAACTGCGGCATGGTATCTCAGTGGACTAGCACTATAGAAACGGCATTAATCGGCACAGAAACACACACACACACTCACACGTGCATGCACGTCCCTATATAAGTGGTTAAACCCCATTAACCTCACCTCACCTCCCGTCACCTCATCTCACCTTCATGTATTATGGCATTACTATTACATTCATGATATGAAAGGAAAAACACCTTGAGTGATTATAGGTTCAGTCTTTATTGGCTGTACATGAAATCCATTTCTTATGACAGATGTACAGATGTCATTCACGGAAGGTCGTGTTCTTATACGGGCCAATTAATTCTCTGAAACCTTATGATCAATATCTTTGACATGATGAGGTTCAGATTAGCATACGTAAAAATACAAAAGAAATTAATTTTCCTATCCGACGTAGGACTTTTCAGCTGCTCCTGGAAATGTTAAGAAATGACAATAGCTGACAGAACAGTTGATGTGGGATACATTAACCCCTTGTTCCCAATGGTTCTGCAACAAAAGACTACATGACATGTCTACCTGGCAAGTATGTTCTAGACACTTGTTATCAATATTTCCAATTTGTTTCAGTTATCAATGTAACACTCCCTGATGAGAAACAAAACTACATTCATCGCATTGGCCGTGTTGGTCGAGCAGAAAGGTAAAAACTTCTTGTTTAATATGGCAAATCAGAATATGTCTATAAACTATGTATGTGGATGCAATGTTTCTACTCACTGTGCATCTGCACACTATGTATCTGCACACTATGTATCTACACACTATGTATCTACACACTATGTACCTACACACTATGTATCTAAACACAATGTATCTAAACACTATGTATCTGCACAATATGTATCTGCACAATATGTATCTACACACTTTGTATCTAAACACTATGTATCTGGGCACTATGTATCTACACACTATGTATCTACACACTATGTATCTGGGCACTATGTATCTACACACTATGTATCTACATACTATGTATCTACACACTATGTATCTACACACTATGTATCTGGGCACCATGTATCTACACACTATGTATCTGGGCACTATGTATCTACACACTATGTATCTACACACTCTGTATCTACATACTATGGATCTACACACTCTGTATCTACACACTCTGTATCTACATACTATGTATCTACACACTATGTATCTACACACCATGTATCTACAAACTATGTATCTACACACTATGTATCTGGGCACTATATATCTACACACTATGTATCTGGGCACCATGGATCTACACACTATGTATCTTGGCACTATGTATCTACACACTATGTATCTACACACTCTGTATCTACACGCTCTGTATCTACACACTATGTATCTACACACTATGTATCTACGTACTATGGATCTACACACTCTGTATCTACACACTCTGTATCTACACACTATGTATCTACACACTCTGTATCTACACACTATGTATCTACACACTATGTATCTACACACTCTGTATCTACATACTATAGATCTACACACTCTGTATCTACACACTCTGTATCTAAATACTATGTATCTACACACTATGTATCTACACACTATGAATCTACACAGTATGTATCTGGGCACTATGTATCTACACACTATGTATCTACACTGTATGTATCTGGGCACCATGTATCTACACACTATGTATCTACACACTATGTATCTACACACTGTGTATCTACACACAATGTATCTACACACTGTGTATCTGGGCACTATGTATCTACACAAAATATATCTACACACTATCTATCTGGGCACCATGTATCTACACACTATATATCTACACACTATGTATCTGGGCACTATATAACTACACACTATGTATCCGGGCACTATGTATCTGGGCACCATGTATCTACACACTATGTATCTACACACTATGTATCTACACACTATGTATCTACACACTGTGTATCTACACACTATGTATCTGGGCACCATGTATCTACACACTATGTATCTGGGCACTATGTATCTACACACTATGTATCTACACACTATGTATCTACACACTATGTATCTGGGCACCATGTATCTACACACTATGTATCTACACACTATGTATCTACACACTGTGTATCTGGGCACCATGTATCTACACACTATGTATCTACACACTATGTATCTGGGCACCATGTATCTACACACTATGTATCTGGGCACTATGTATCTACACACTATGTATCTACACACTATGTATCTACACACCATGTATCTACACACTATGTATCTACACACTATTTATCTACACACCATGTATCTACACACCATGTATCTACACACTATGTATCTACACACTATGTATCTGGGCACCATGTATCTACACACTATGTATCTGGGCACCATGTATCTACACACTATGTATCTGGCCACTATATATCTACACACTATGTATCTGGGCACCATGTATCTACACACTATGTATCTACACACTATGTATCTGGGCACTATGTATCTACACACTATGTATCTACACACTATGTATCTACACACTATGCATCTACACACCATGTATCTACACACCATGTATCTACACACTATGTATCTACACACTATGTATCTGGGCACCATGTATCTACACACTATGTATCTACACACTATGTATCTGGGCACTATGTATCTACACACTATGTATCTACACACTATGTATCTATCTACACACTATGTATCTACACACTATGTATCTGGGCACTATGTATCTACACACTATGTATCTACACACTATGTATCTACACACTATGCATCTACACACCATGTATCTACACACCATGTATCTACACACTATGTATCTACACACTATGTATCTGTGCACCATGTATCTACACACCATGTATCTACACACTATGTATCTACACACCATGTATCTACTCACTATGTATCTACACACTATGTATCTGGGCACTATGTATCTACACACTATGTATCTACACACTATGTATCTTGGCACTATGTATCTACACACTATGTATCTGGGCACTATGTATCTACCCACCATGTATCTACACACCATGTATCTACACACTATGTATCTGTGCACCATGTATCTACACAGTATGTATCTACACAATATGTATCTACACACTATGTATCTGGCCACTATATATCTACACACTATGTATCTGGGCACCATGTATCTACACACTATGTATCTACACACTATGTATCTTGGCACTATGTATCTACACACTATGTATCTACACACTATGTATCTACACACTATGCATCTACACACCATGTATCTACACACCATGTATCTACACACCATGTATCTACACACTATGTATCTGGGCACCATGTATCTACACACTATGTATCTACACACCATGTATCTACTCACTATGTATCTACACACTATGTATCTGGGCACTATGTATCTACACACTATGTATCTACACACTATGTATCTTGGCACTATGTATCTACACACTATGTATCTTGGCACTATGTATCTACCCACCATGTATCTACACACCATGTATCTACACACTATGTATCTGTGCACCATGTATCTACACACCATGTATCTACACACTATGTATCTGGGCACCATGTATCTACACACTATGTATCTACACAATATGTGTCTGGGCACCATGTATCTACACACTATGTATCTACACACTATGTATCTACACACTATGTATCTGGGCACCATGTATCTACACACTATGTATCTACACACTATGTATCTGGGCCTATGCATGGGCGGATACAGCTTTTTTGAAAAGGGGGGGTGCACAATTAAGATCTATTTATTGTCTTTTGTGGTAATTTATACAGAAAAAAAAGATTTTTTTTCGAAATAAAAAGCGGGGATGCGCAGCCCCGCACCCACCCTCTGTATCCGCCCATGCTACAGATCTACACACTATGTATCTGGGCACTATGGTCTGATTTATTTTTATTACTCAAACTCCCTTTGAATCATGACTTATTGTAGGATATTTCGGAACCTTTCATCTGACATTTTGTTGGTTTTCATTTTAGAAATGGTTTGTTTTCTATTTCTCCTTTATTGTTATGAAGACTTTGACATTTGATTAACTCAGATGGGGTTTTTATGGTAGCAGAACCAGACAACTGAGGCCTATAGTTTTTCCCCCAAGTATATAATCTGGGATTATCTGTTGTTTCGCCTTGAATAGTTTAGACATACTGATCAAGTGTCAAGCTGCCAGTTTATTGTCCCCCGCCACGAAGTGGAAGGGGGATATAGGAATGGGTGCCATCCGTCCGTCCGTCACATTTCGTTTACGGAGCAGATCTTGAAAACCGTACCATATTTCTTCACCAAACTTGGCACATAGATAGATCTAGTGGTGAACTGGAGCCTTTTGATAGTTTTGGATTTTAAAAAAAATTGTTTTTGGAGTTTCCACGGCAACGACTTTGATTTAGACTGAAAATGGCGGTAGTCCTCGTTTCCGGAGCAGATCTTGAAAAACGTACCATTTTACTTCACCATATTTTGCACATTGATAGGTCTAGTGGTGAACTTGTGCCTTTTGATAGTTTGGGATTTTTTTAAAAAGTTATTTTTCGAGTTTCCATGGCAACAACTTTGATTTAGACTGAAAATGGCGGTAGTCCTCGTTTCCTCTTTACAAAAAGGCCCAGTGAACATAGTTCATAGGAGCTAATGCATTGCACACACCCGACATGTCATATTGGCGGGGGATGTGAGTATTTCATGCTTGTTGTCTTATGTATTAGTTCAGCATTATAGTGTTCAGTATATACTTGGTGCACATAAAGATTGTTTTTCTGTCATATATATCCTTGTGTTATTTGATTTCGGGGCTCCTAAGTAGTATTTTTGACTACATTTGTCATAACAATCCCAATACGCTAAAACTAGATCATACCTTTGAGAAATCTATTATTAACGCTTGAATGGTCAGATGATCATGTCAGGTGCCATCTTGTTTCCGTCACATGGTTTCAAGCCCCTCCATAACAGTGAAGTTAAACATAGATGCACGTCATGATCAGTCACATGACATTACAGACAGGAAGCTTACAAGCAGCAGCCGATACATCATGGCTGCATACAATTGTTCTGATGCAGAATTATCATCAGATCGAGTTTTGAGGCTTTCATTACTTATTGAATATCTTACCTCATGTAGCTTAATTCGTAGCATTACTTCAGCAGCAACTGGCGAACGCTATGATGTCTTCAGTGGGCTTTGAAGTGTCTACTTTGATTACATTATTAAGCACATGGTTACATATTGTTTAGGGGCTCGAAAAGAGGTGAGGCTCTGAAAGCGTCTGACATGGGGATATATTTTCATGCTTATGTTGTACACAAACTATTGTAAATAACTTAACCTTACTGTAGTGTAATAAACTGAAATATGCTAAAGAATAACAATAGAAAACAATCAATCTGAAGAAAAGTTCTAAAATTAATTTGTTGCCTAAATATGGTGTTGGATGTAATTGGGATCCCACCTAGAAGTAACCCCTCCAAGCCAATACATTATCGTAACCCAACCAATGATTGGTCCCCAGGTAGCACTTGGTCAACAATAGAAGTCCAGGATCTATTAATAATCATCCAGACCGTAAGAAATTGATCCCAAACAGCCAATTAAATCGCTGTTCACTTGTGCCAGGCCACTGGAGTTCAAGTTACTGATCAGACAATTAGAAATCGTCTGAATGCTCTGTGATCTTGTGTTGTACCACCATTAAAAAATTGACACCTTCTAGCCAGATGCCAATGGTGTTTTGGGCATAGAAACCAGCGTTAGAATTTGGCACTAGTCCTGTAGTCCTTACCAAACTGCCCAATAGTAAAGGTATCGTAAGGACTAGCAGAAATTGGCCCTTTTAAAAGGTTTTGCTATTTGTTATCATTATAAGGACCAGTGGACAAAAGACTGTTAGTTTCTAACCCTGGAAACTGGGAGAATCGCCAATGGTCCCATGTGATTTTTCCAGATTCTGTCTTGATACATCTCAGGATCACTATGACTGGCAGAACGCTGCTGCATATTGTCCATGGAAGAGTCACAGGATAGTACAACTGACACAACATGCTTGTCCCTTTCCATCGAAAAGTGTTACTTAGGTTTTGCTGCCTCAAAATTTCGATTCAATATTTCTTTTTCAAGACTGACCGATTTTAGTCTTTGTTTGATATATACTGGTCAGTTTGACCTGACTGTATACTTTTTTATGCCAAAAGTCAAACACCAACAATACACCTAAAAACACACAAAACCACCTTTGTTCAGGAAACAGCACACCTGTAGGTATGACATACTGTCAAGCGTGTTCATTTTTGGTGACCCATGCAGATCCGGGGTAGAATAAGTCTTCGGCTACCCATGCTTGCTGTAATAGGTGACTCTGCTTGTCGTGAGAGGCGACTTTTATTTCCAAACCGCTGTCATATCGCTTGAATATTGCTGAGTGCGACGTTAAACAACAACAAACAAACTAACATTATTTATTTTTTTGTATTTTGTAGGTGTATATCAAACATATTTCATGAATAATCAATAGACACAAAAATAATTTCTTGCTGTTTGTATTTATTTGCTGTTTGTCAATATTTGAAAATGATAATCAGACTTTCATTCACCAAGGGGAGGAATAGAGAGTTGTCAATTTGGGTTGTCCCTCGTGCAACACAATCAGTTTATGTGAGCAATGGATAACTTTGTCCTTTTCTATAATTATAAATTAAGTATTGTTTTTGAACCAGTTTGTTCTTACATCTGGCTGAGGATCAACATAACTAAACGTGTGAAGTCTATTCCCAAAAGCAGTTCCATGATGTTCATATGATGCAAAGGGTCATTTTCAGTAGCTCCAAAGTCTAAATGTTTGGCTGGTGACCCCAGTATTTTACAGTTGTTCATGTTTAGTCATGAGCAGAAATAATTCTAATGGTTATTTTACACAAAAAAACAAATTCATATAAAACATGTAAAAGAACAATTTATTCTCAGTTTATTGAAAAACGAACATTTAACACAAGATTAAAAGATTATTGTTTTGAGAATATGTGTATTTCATATTGATCAGTGAAATGCAATCAATTAACAGTGACTGCAAAAAAGTTAAATTTGAAGAAAATTACATTTTTAATAATATGATTTGAATGGTACTTGCAGCAGAATTAGAGACTTCTATTATTTTCATTTCTTCATGTGCTTTTCTATGAAAATGATCCCCAAAATAATTCTTTTCAAGGATGGGTCTTGCTGTAAGTCTGGTATCCACAGTGAAGGAAAAGGTAAGAGAAACAAGTTCTCCTCACTATATGAAACCTTCTTTCTTCTTTTATAGACTGCTGTTCCCTGTAGATCTCTATCTGTCCCCTGTTACCCCACCTCTCTCCCTTGTAGGTACCAAGGTCAGCCCCTCCTGTCTATTTGAATAGAAAGTGTTGAGTGAGATTAACATGAAGGCATAGTGGTAGCACAGATTCCACATTGTCACAAATGCATTTACTATGTAAACGAAAAGCAATACTGTCAGCAGCGAAATCCCTTCAAAATACATCGAGAATCCATACCAAATACATTTTTGCCGAAGATGAATAATCTATATCGAAGGGGAATTATTTTTTACATTTAATGTTCAATCACATTCAATCAACTGCTTAATTAAGATTCCCTCTGGTGACAAGTGTTGATTAAAACACCCGTTTCTGTGATGACAGTAAGTGTTGGAGTAGTTTGGCATAATGTGGAATTTAGCGAAGATGAACGAATGTGTTGGGATGCAGATTCTTTCAGTTCCAATAGCAGTTACAATGATAGTAACTGTATTCAAATCACATTTAAAGCTATTCCTTCTCACTTGGTAGCTATACACAAAATAGCTTACATTCATTCTGTTAATTCTTCTTGTTATTCAATAAAACAGGTCCTCAGCATTCTGCATTCTGGATTGGCATCAGCAATATTGTTGAATGCATGTTGTCATCACCAAACAGCTGTTGTTCACTGGGATTGTCATTCTAGCTTTGCTTTTTTCCGTACACAACTCATACGTTATGTTGGCGAGAGCTAGCACCATGTTTTCTACTACACATATAGCCAAGTGTGAGTCATCACCCCTGAAGTGCATGAAACTGTGTTATTAAGGTAGCCAGATGCACATTATTTTCTGTTTTAGAGGTGTCCTACAGTCATTGTTTTACTGGAGTAAAGTCAAGAGGAAGTCCATGTAATTTATGAATATTTGTGGAAGCATTGGTATGCCTGTTTTAGATGTGTCTTGCATTAAGACATGTGTCTGAAAGTGAAGTCATTACACTGGAATTGTGTGTTCCTTTTCAAGTTTGTCATATGTGACTTTCTGGTTTAAAGTTGGGCAGACAGTGACACTTCTCCACTGGAAGTTCTCCACAAGAAGAAAAGGACTTTTCTAGTTTAAGATTGTACTCCATTGGGCATATGTTTTCCAAACTGGAAATAATATCATTAGATTTGAAGTGAAGTCATTTGAAATTGTCTTCAATACTTAAAACCTGTGTGCATGCAGTGTAAATCCTCATATTTATACTGAAAGTGTGCACCCTCATTTTTATGTTTATACCTCTATAAGTACAAAAAGATGTTGAAGTCAATTCTTATAAATGAATAAGTCTACAATATAAAGTTTTCAGATGGTTTATTAAATCATATAAAAAACTTCAAACAACTGTTCGAAATCAATGACATCGTTCAGTGCAATAATGGAACAATCCCAGACCACCATATTATCAGCCAATTAGGAATCGGTAGTGTGTTAATGGGTATGGCTTACTTGTTCTTTATTTAATTTTAAACAAACACAAAACAAAACTGCTTGGTTAGCTAATCAAATGCCATGGTTTCACTGGCAACTTCTTGATGAATGGACATACGTTTGGGTTCCTCGTGATGTTAGCCGGAGGCTACCGGTAAATACCCCAGTACCTTCACCTGGGAAGGCGACGATGCTTGTCGTAAGAGGCGACTATGCTTGTCGTAAGAGGCGACTACGCTTGTCGTAAGAGGCGACTATGCTTGTCGCAAGAGGCGACTAATGGGATCAGGTGGTCAGGCTCACTGACTTGGTTGATGCATGTCATCGATCCCAATGAGGTGAATCGATGCTCATGATATTAATAACTGGATTGTCTGGTCCAGACTTGATTATTTACAGACTGCCGTCATATACATGGAATATTGTTGAGTGCGGCATGAAACAACAAACCAACCAACCAACCAAACCTTTACCTAGGTTGAGGTTGTAGTATAATTCAAAGTAGGGGCCATTATACCTCGCACAGGAAATGCATGGTGGGAAAGGAATTTTTCTGGTGTCTTCTACCAATGGCTGTGAAGGACTTGCACGTATTTGTCCAATTCTGTATGTACAGGTGTGGTACCACTCCAACTGCCACAACCGTGGACGAGGCTGCTATAACACCCGCCTCACCGATGAGGGTGGATGCTGTATCTGGTACAATGAACCACAGGTAGGTCCACCCATTCACTGTACCTACCATGGGAAACAGTAGGCTGGCATTCCTAAATGGCTGTACCAACTCTTACATAGTAGGACTTTTCTTGTCATGCATTGGTGTGTATGTATTCCTTGCCATTAGATATAAAACAGCATGTTGCACACCAATTATAGAAATTACATGTATAGTACAATGCTATACTTCATTATTATATAGGGGGCACGGGTGGCCCAGTCGCCTAAGGCGCCGCGATTCGCTGTGCAGAGTTGCGTCCCTTGGGCACGCCAGAAACCTAGGATTGTGGGTTCGAATCCCAGTTCGCCCCAATTATGTTTCTAGGTTTGTCAGCACCATACCCGTGCTCGTGGGTTTCACCGAAGTGGTAAACGTCTGAGACCTGCATCACTTCGGGCTTTCCTCCCACATTAAGCTGACACGCCGTGATATAACTGGAATACTGTTAAAAGCGGCGTTAAACCCAACTCACTCACTCACTCATTATTATAGATTATTCCTTCTCTGTACTGATCATTGTAGATATTACTAAATGGTATGCATCTTAAAACAGCTTAAACAACAGGTTAATGTAGCCTAGTGGTTAAAGTGTTTGCTCATCATACTGAAGACCCGGGTTCCATTCCTCGCATTGGTACAATGTGTGAAGCCCATTTCTTGTGTCCCCCACCATGATATTGAAGGAATATTGCCAAAAGCAGCATAAAACAATACTCACTCACTCACCCCAGTTATGGCCTGTGTTATTTAAAATGCAATCCGTTAATTCTGATGAACCTGATCATGTCCTCAGCTGAAGAGCGATGTGGAGGAGCACCTTGACATAACCATTGATCTTGTGGAGCCCAACTTCAAAGTCCCAGTCAATGAATTTGATGGCAAGGTCATGTATGGTCAGAAGAAGAAAGCATCAGGTTAGTTATTAAACCGTAAAGACAAACATGCTATATGTCTGTGTCAATTAAAATATTGCTAAAAGTGGCACACACAAAAATAGGACTATTCTTGCATGAACTACCAGTGTAACATATCACAACTATCCCAGCAGAATGAACATCTCAAGGAGCCCATACGTGTACATATCATCCTTAGAGTCGGACACTGAAGTCAAGTTTTGTGTGATATTCATTGAAGGTCAAGGTCACTTGAATGGTAATTAAAGAGTAGTAGTAGTTTTAGCTGTACTGAAAGTAGAGTGAGCATATGTCATGGCCTGCTTGTCCAGCATTCAGTGTTGTTGGCAGCAGCAGCAGCAGCAACAGCTATAAACAGATTGTACTCAGAAACCACTGGACCAAGGAAGCAGAAACATGCTTGTTCCTTCTGATGATAACACCTGAATTTATTCAATAGATTCTAAACCAATTTTCAAAATGCCTGCCATTTTATTGAATAGAAACGTTAAAGGCCACAATTCAGACATCTTTAATATGGTGTAATGGAAGTATATACATGTATGCTAGTTCTGATCTTTCTCGATGTATTTAAATTTGACACTTACATTCTTACCAAGCTCATAAATTCTCTCAGAAGGCATTTATGTTTTTGGCTCTGCGAACATCTCCTGTGAGAGTAGGTGCTGGGCAGATGAAGCTGAAATTTGACATGCTTGTTTCTTCTCATGGTAAAACCATATTTTGTTGAAGGCAATTTGATTTTGTTAATTATTTTATTAAAAGCAATTCAAATGTCATGTTTTTCAAAAAGATGAAATATCGTATTCTCAAGAATCGTAAGGTGTAGAAAGCTGGAATTAGTGTGAATCATTATAGGACTATAAGTAGATTCAAGCTTGGTCACGGTTGCCAACTTGGTGCGGCAGAGGAGTTTGGCAAAAATAAGTCTTTTTTTTTCAGAATGTGTTGCACCAAATGTACTAAAAGAATGTTAATATTCACAATGTTGCAATTGTGTTTCGTTTTCCTACAATTTAGTGTTTGTCACAATAATAAAGTTGAAGCATCATAAAGTCAACAAAATTAATTGACCATTTCTTTCAAAATATAAAGAAAAGTATTAAGAAGTTCATTTTAGTCGAAAAACGTATAACCAAGAGAGAAGAAACATTATGTTAAAGGGGCACTGATCTAAAGCAATTCCCCGGGACTGGTTGATGCCTTTGTTATCGTTTTTTTCCCGTGAGTACACGGATGATATAGCAGAAACCTAGACTAGTTCGAAACCTGTGCTGCGCAATTCGTAAGCGCATTTGTCACTTTTATTGATAGTATAAGGCCGTATGGTCACATTGATCAACAAAATGAAATACAGTTTTGGAAATAATAAGGAAATGTAGGTATCTTTGTGGGAAGCATCAGAAATGGTGACAAAGTTTTGATAAGTCACTTGCTTGGTAATTGTGCGTTTTGGTAATTTTCGTTTACACTTATTTAACTTGCAACACAAAGTAAATATTTCTCCTGTGCATTGCTTATTTTATCGTGTTTATATTTTTACAGTCAAAATGTGCAAAATGTTCACTTAGGAAATTTATTAAACGCCTTAATATTCAGTTATTTTACAAATTGACTGAAAAATATGTCCATCTGTATTATTATGACAACAAATTCCAAAATTTTTTATGTTTAATATCATCATCAAGAAAATGTCACGATGAAAAGTACATTTCTATATTGTTTAGCTTCTAATCGTACATAATAATCTACTGTGATGTTGAGGCCCTATTGATCGTCTTAATCAATTTTGGTCAATCTGTTATAGAAATGGGCAGATTTTTCAGTCAAAATGACTGAAATATTTACACATTTTATAAATTGCCTGAGAGAATCACATTTTACAAATTGACTGTAATATACAAAGGAAAAGACTTGTGAAAACAACGTTTATCACGCATCGAAGAATTTCCCATCCAAGACGTAGAGGAACAAGAATGAATCTGTCCAATGCTACTGCAAATGAAGGAAAACAAAATGCTAATATCATAATTACAACCTACCAAATTTATGTGTATAATTTTAGGCAGCTTCCTTGTTCGAGGAATGTATCCGTGAATATCCACACAAAGGAACAATATCCCAAAAGTCTGCAGCTGTAGTAGTATAGGTAATGGGGGTTCTGGACCACTTCCACTGGAGCCAGATTCATATACCTATACTGCTACTACAGATGGAATTTTTTATGCCAAAACTCTAATGCGATTCAAAGATAGTCATAAGATTAAGTTAAATTGACTCCAGCTCACCACCACCTGGAGTCTATGATACAAATTTTTATAGGTAATCGGGGTTTTGGACCACTTCCACTGGAGCCGGATTCATATACCTATACTGCTACTACAGGTTGCATTTTTTATGCCAAAATGATTATGCGATTCAATGATAGTCATAAGTTGTATTAAACGAAACATCAATATTAATTAATAATTGATAAAATTTACTATAGCCCACGAGGATATTGGAAAGGTGTAGGAGCAATAAAAAAATTAGCCACCGCGGCTAAGGTATCTAAAGTTGTGGCCAAGGATTGGTTAAAGAAACAAGCGATGTGGCAGATATATTTACCGGCACCGCGTTATATACCGAGGAAGAAGTTTGATATTTTTACAACGAATGAAGTTCATCAGGCTGACCTCTTGTTTCTTCCCCACGATAAGGTAAGACGCAAAACGTATCAATACGCTTTAACAGTAGTGGATGTGGCTAGTCGATACAAAGAGGCTGAGCCATTAACCTCGAAAGATTCAACAGAAGTAGCTAATGCACTGAGTCGCATATATAAACGCGGGCCACTAAAATGGCCTAAGCTATTTCAAGTAGATCCCGGTTGCGAGTTTATGGGATCGGTAACTAAACTGTTAACAAAGCACGATGTCGAAATCGTCAGTGGTGAAAGAGAGGCCCACCGTAGTCAAGCTATCGTCGAAAGATTTAACAGGACATTAGCGGAACATTTGTTTGGCTATCAGTTTGGGATCGAAATGAAATCCGAGCGATTGAGATCAACCGAATGGGTGACACGATTATCAGCCGTTGTATCAGCGCTGAATAATGAAGTAACGAGATTAATAGGGAAGAAACCATCCGATGCTATTAAAATGAAATCCGTGACTTCCGAATCTTCAGCACCGAAGAGAGGCAAAGAACGAAAACTTCCGGATAGAGTAAGGGTAAGATATTTATACCAGGCCGGTGAACTCGAAGGAGGCCTACGTCGCGCAACCGATCCCATATGGTCCCTTAAGATGTATAACATTAGTCGATTGGTTACGAAAGAAGGAGAGCCTATTCTTTATTATCTTCAAGATGGACCGGGTAGGGCATTTGTACGAGAAGAGTTGTTCATAGTTCCCGACGGTACGGTATTACCACCATAACCATAAGCATAGGTAGTTACACCATCATTATCAATCCATCTCTTTGTTTCTAAGGGGGATAATGATGTCTTGTTCATTCTTAATCCATAAATCCTATGATTGTAACTTTTTAAAGAGTTCATCTCGTGTTTGAACGTTCTACCGTTGAATAATGATTCTTTATACTGTTCGTGTTTGATATGCTTTTTTACAACATACTTCTTAACGCCCTTAGCTTTTCTTATCTCTCCATTATCGGACTTCTTTATAGAATACATCTTAGGTCTTAATCCGACATACTCCGCTATAGGGGTCCCAGCACATTTATCCTTCATCTTACCTAATACCTTTTTATTTACTACGCTGTGCAGTGGATTATCTTTTGGGTAATCGCTCGTGTCGTACATATCTATTTTTTCTGCCATATCTTTATACACATCCTCGGTTTGTATTTCCATCAACAAAGAATCTGTGTCGGTATATAACACCTCGCATCTATCGCCGTATTGCTCCTTAAGTTTGTTGTAATAAAAGTCATACATTAAGTGTTTTGACAAGTCGAGAATACTCATACCGACGTACACCGGTCTGTTGAATTTTATATTACTCTTCTGCATATGCAACGCGGCTAAGTCGTTATCGAATATCTTGCTTCTGTTAAAAGCCGGACTGGCTATAAGTTTCCTGAGTCTTTCTTCCTCATTAGATCTGACTAATTTAACATCAACACGCTTCCTTAGATTCTCCATAGTTTTACCAAATACTGAGTTATTCATGAGCTTATAAAGATTCTTTTCGAAATCGCTGGTAGCTATCTTTCTTAAATCTGTGTTCAACCTTATATAGGGCTCCATCCAAGGGCTTTGATCAAACTTTAGAACTCTGTGTATTTTCTTAAGTTTCATACCTAACGATAGATATAACTGGAGATTTCTGTAGTGAACTATATATTTTGTTTTATCCATCAAATTTGGTACGAGTTTTTCTACGTTAGCTAACCTACTATTACCCATCAAGGAGCGTTGATATTCCGACATCCAATCTTTATTAACCATTAATCTTTCGGGAGCTAGCAGATAACTGTTATGATCTTTATGTAACGAACTTGGATATTCCAAGTCAACTTCTAGTATGTACCCTTTATTCACATCATTATTATGGATATTATGGATATCATTGACCCACTCAAAACCACCCGTGGGTAAAGGTTGACTCATAGCCCATCCGTACAAATTGTTAGCGTCGAGATATAATATGTGCGTGTCGGGTTTACTCGGATCGTATCATTCCACTAATTTATTATTAGCCTTAGAATACCTTTTCGCTGCCATCGATATACCACCTCTTAATCCTTTCTCAATAAACAAGTGCATATCGTAATCTGTGAGTAGTTTTAGTTCTACGCCGGTCTTCTTCAACAATGCATCCCACGATAGTCCGGGACTGGAATAGTACCATGCCGGATCCAAGCCGTATTGTTTTAAACATGTCTTTCTAAATATCTCAAATATATCGGCGAGTCACAGTACATCAGTTTTTAAGTACAGATCGTGATAATCACCTAAATTCTTACAACCTAATTTATCCCAGACCGTCAGAGCG